TTAAAGAGCTTTTTCTCAAAATGATGACTCTGTAACAGTCATTATATAATGTGACATATTTTGCTTAATATTTGGAGTTCAAAAACAATCCTGATATCATTAGAAAGCTAGGAATCAAAATATGTCTTCGGGTCAATGCGACTGATTTCGATGGAGCAGCAGGTCACTTTGCATTAGGTACAATAAAGCAGGCAGACATAACGGGAAGAATATGTACATTTTAACCCAATCAAATAGGACATTGTCACACCATTCAAATGTATCCATGTAAATTACAACCAATAAAAAAGCTTAGATTTGTTTATTTGTTACGTTGTTTACTTTATTTGTTACGTTGTTCTGTGTGTGTCAGCCGTTAACCTATAAATAATATATACACTTGCAAACATGTCAGAAGAACCAGCGCAGAAGAAAACTAAATGTGACCCGCTCTATCGAAATCAGTCGGAAGTCGCAATGGCTCATTTCAGAATAAACGTGGATTTACGTAAAAAACTATTTGTTCAGGGTTCCGGTGTTTTGTTTGATTTTAAACAAACAAAGTCTTGGCTTTCAGAATATGAAACTTTTATTTCCAAAATCACACGATAAATACATTTTTGAAGCTTGTAAAGGGACGAAGAGGCACCTCTCACTCGCAATCTGCTCTTCCAGCAGCGCCGCCCCCCTCCCTCCGCTGAAATTATGAATGTAAGAGTATAGTAATCATAGATAACACGGCAGGGATCCGTTACAGTTTGTTTTCATCTGATTTAAAATAAACAAAGTCTTGGCTTTCAGAATATTAAACTTGTTTCGGCAAATTCAGATGATAAATACAGCTTTGAAGCTTGTAACGGCATAATTACAAGCGGAGAACGGAGTAACTTAACGTCACAGCAGGCATAACAACAGCTGGTGTTTCTCGTGAGTGTTTTCCCCGGGAAACAAACACAATACACACAAACGCAAAATTACACAAACACACACACGTATACACACACACTCGCGAGCTTCCCCTCCAAACGAAAATATCTTCCCTCCGTAGTATTTTGATCATTTGCTCCACTAATAATCAATCAGATCGATGGATTCCAGAGAAGAGGAAACTTTTAAGGCCTTTTTCTCAAAATGATGACTCGGTGACAGTCATTATATAATGTGACATATTTCGCTTAATATTTGGAGTACAAAAACAATCCTGATATCATTAGAAAGCTAGGAATATCCTCTTTCCAACAGTGTATACAACTCAAAATGTGTCTTCGGGTCAATGCGACTGATTTCGATGGAGCAGGTCACAAATACAGTCAATCTAAACTTAAATGTAACAACTGGAAGGTCACATCCCTGACATCCACATCTCCGGAGCCTGGACCTTCATCAATCATAGAAATAGCGAAGCCAGATGAACCCAAAAGCAGCACCTCTGCGGCCGCAGAAACTGTCAAAACCGCCGCCGCCCCCACCGCCGCCGTTGAACCGAAACAGGCTGGTTCCGACTGCATGGAGGTTTGTTGTCGGGACATTGAGGCGGGTAAAGCTGTACAGCTAACTATCGGAAAAAAGGAGACCGCTAGTAGATTATTTGAGCAAAGAGAAGGTACTTCAACGCAGAATGGTACAAAAACAGAGAGTGGTTCATTCTTTGCAAAACCACTAAACGATAGTGATAAATTGCGATGTTAACAACCTCATGATAACCTCATATTTTTTTAACTTAGGATCATACCTGTGTTTAGTCTAGAAAAAGGTAAATGTGTGCATTTTATTATAAAGTTGTGTATATTTACAGACTATTGCAAACACTAAGAAGCTTATAAACATCAGGTTTAAAACTAAAAGAGCTTTACAAAAAAGTAACCAAAGATGTTTGGAGTTTTATTTGAGTTATTCATTTAAACTTTTTGTCTAAGAGATGCTGATTTGAAACCGTTGTTACATACAGTTACGTATTTCCTGTTTCTGCCAGAGAGAGGGGAGTTTGTCCCAAAGCTTGCTGCTGTATTTACTCCCTCCATCTGACAGGAGGGAGCCTCATGTGTCACTCCACGGAGTTCACTCCGTCACGGAGGGTGTGTGTGTAGGTGTAGGGCGTGGTTTGGGATTGGGCCATACACACGCACTTTTTTCGCCCCCCCCCACTTCTAAAATGAATCCGGCGCGCCTGGTGGGTTGTACATAAAACCACTTGGTAATATATAAAAATGTATATGTTGAAGCCTGTTATGATCAATTGTGAGTTAAAACTTTATCTAAAAAGTAAAGCTGATGATGGATTACTGTGGTGGAGTTCAAATAACAATAGCCTATTTCTTTTTGAAATGTGATGGAGTAAAAGGATAGTAACTGTGATTATTGATGTTAAGTAGCCCACAAGTAACTAAAAATATTGCAAGTGCAATAAGAAGCTACAGGAACGTTAATCTAACGTCGGTAATATTAACTTTATTTAATACAACATTTACGGTACAAGATTTACATCATACAGCCCATGTAGTATAATATTTTACAAATGATGAATTACAGCAAACATGTGCAATATATCCATTATTACAGCTCCGTGGGCTGGCAGTAAGGCGATATGGTCCGTTGTTATTGTGCATCCATGGGTAAAGAGAAACTCATGTAGTACTGACATGTAACATGAACGTGCCGGTCAGCGCGGTCCCGTGGGTTAGATGCACGTTCATAATACCGAGGGAAATAACTCTCAGAATAACGTTATTAGCACATTTTTACAACTTGAGGAACGAATGTTTTTAATAAGGGCTATACAAGTGTTCATACTGGGTAGTTTATTTAGTTTAAAAAAAATTATCCAACGAGTTACAGACCACTCTTTCCTAATGTAAGTCAATGGGAAAAAGTGTTTCCGGGCCCAGCTACCTAAAGGAAGTGTAGTACCGCCGTTTAACCAGCACGAATATTCTCATCAGACTCCGGCGCACACGAGACAGCTCCGTTTAGCTCCAACCGCTGGAGAAGCTGCAGTACATATGCAGGAGCCTGTACAGATGGAGCGCTCCATTTCAGACGCCTACCCGTGCGGGTCCGTGATCGGCACGGGGTGGGCCCCTGCTGAAAAGGAAAACCCCCCTTAGGACTTGAAACGCCCCCTTGATAAATAAATGTAATTATAATGAAACCAGCTGCAATGGATCATGGATCCACCAGGGGGAGCCGTGATTAAAAAGCTGCCACACTGGAACTCATGTGAAATAAACAGCTGATCTACAGGTATCTGATATAGCGGATATTTGTTAAGATCCATATGTCACGGATAGGATCATATTCTGTGCTAATTAAGAGACATGTAATCATTTACTAAACATCCCCATGTTTTTATTTAACAAAATAATGTTTAATTCAGGTTGGCGTAAGTACAAAACCATCGCTATGTTTTTAGATCAGGAAATGCATCCAGGCTCAAACAAACGATTTTCAATCCTCACGATCATTTAATGTATCATATGTTCGCGAGTTGAAATGAATGCACTAATACATGTAGTTTAATTCACGTGAGTTTACAACAACAAAAATAATCGCTTTGTTTTTATATCACATCCGACCGGAGGAAAATGCAGCACGGGTCTCACTACCGATCATCCTAATTCCACGGGCAAACAATAATATGTACAGTGTTAATAGTTTACTGTATTATTAGTGTCTAATATTACTGGGGATTTCGGAATGGTACTGGATTTTGATTTATTGTATCGGCTTCATATCGCAATATATTCCCGAAGTCTGAAATACAAAAATGTCCCACATTAGGGCAATTCACCCTACATTTAATCATTCATACAAAATCATATTTCGTTTCTTTTTAACGAAATAAATGTGGTTTAATCCACATAATTTACTGTGTTAATTGTTTACTGTAGTATTGTGCACATTACTTTTCGCTGCTTGTTGCACCCCTGGTTAGAAGCTAAACTGCATTTTGTTGTCTCAGTACCTGCAATATGTGCAATAACAATCAAGTTGAATCTAATCTTGAGCAGGAACACATTTATTTAGGCTACTTAGTACATATCTGACATAAACGATTAAACACATTTGTGCATTCTTTAAACCGAGTCAAGCCGAGTCCGGAGGTGGCGGCACATTAAAGTGTGCACCTGATTGTTTAACTTGAAGGTGCCTGATGACATTTAATCATTCAAACAAAATCATATTTAGTTTATTTTTAACGAAATAAATGTGGTTTAATCCACATAATTTAGGCCTACTGTGTTAATTGTTTAGTATTGTTTAACTTGAAGGTGCCTGATGTGAACATTTCCAGAAGCACTCTAGCTTGAATGGCCTTTGTATGTATACAGTAGGCCTACACATAGGCGGCGCGTGAGGCTCAGGTTTGGGAAGGCTAAATAACTTTTTTTTTCATCTTACGCTACCCGCCTCCGGCGTCTATAGAAAAGAGATCAACTCAGTGAAAGCACCGCCTGCTGACCGATCAGAGCTCAGTGTGCGGAGTTTAAATCTATCAAGTCATATTACAGGATAAAGGAAATGCAGTTTAAACTGCCGTATGCAGAGAAGACGCTGACGTGTCGCACTTATCATTCATATCACACTGACATCACATCATCAATCAGATCATCGATCTCACATCGATATCACAATATTTCCTTATCTGAGTCAGCTTCTCGAGCCGTATCTGGCCGTGCAACTACGGTGGCCCTGAGAGGCCAGGGTGCTGCAAATAAAAGAACGCTGCAAATTAAAAAAACGCTGCAAATAAAAAGAAACAGAAACGCCGCGCAAATAAAAACGCCGCGATGCAAATAAAAAAGCCACAACCGAAGTGAATTACCGGTCTAGACCCCGGGGATTTCATCGGAGCGGTGCTTTCCCTCCTGAATGATTATCCTGCAAACCGGGGGCCTAATCGCCAAACACCATTACATTCTCCTGTTGTACTATCATGGCAATCATTTCATTCATATGACGTGTAAACAATAAATATGTAATTCTTACATCACGTCTCTCCGGTTTGAACTATTATTGCTGATGCACATGCGGTTTTTTATGCGAGAGAAGAAGAAGTCTGGGGGATCTCCAGGAAACATCTCTTGGGTAAGTTTATAATGTTAAAGTTACACAGGATGTAGATAATATCTGTCGCTGCCGTATTTATAACTTTAAATGACGTTATTTTGTGTGTGGGAGCAGATTATGTGTGTAGTGTATAATGTTAGTAGAACATAGCTTTGATCAAAACTGCAGAAAGCTATTTTGAAGTTGCTTACTTGTCTGTGAAAACTGATTCTGATTCTGCTCGATTTATCCGTGCAGCTTGAACCGTTTTAAATCTAGACTACCACACACACACACACACACACACACACACACACACACACACACACACACACACACACACACACACACACACACACACACACACACACACACACACACACACACACACACACACACACACACACACACACACACAGTATTATTGCATGTTCAACTGCCTGAGGCTTGTCTTGCCCTTGTCAGTGGGGAATGTCGTGATTAAGACACACTTGCAATCCATGTTGGGATATTCCTTGTATTAAGCCAGCGTTGAAAGTAGTACTGATTAGTCTTTCCAAATGTGTTCGTGTTATTTACAAACTAGTGCAGTGCCCGTTCGGGGCATGGCCGTTCAGAGCTAAGCGGACCGATTGTTTGGCTCCCATAATTGCTGCTTGCAATGTTGTCCGGGGGGCGTACCCGATCGGAGCGCGTAGATTCGTCAAAAATAAAGGTTTAGAAAAATGAATCCCAAAAAATTCTAAATGAAGGATGCACATCATCGTGCAATCCGCAAGCCATATACGAAAGTTTAGATCGATCTGACAAACAGTCAGAGAGATATGCGAGACACACACACAGACATTTCTTGCTTTATAGATATATAGATAGATGTTCATGCAATTGAAGCGCAAAGCAACCTAATGATACTTTATTTGTTTTGTTGCAGGTCATAATGTATTGTCCTTTTTGTGGACAGCAGCAGGCTTCTAAATCAGCCTTTTGCTGTTCATGTGGCAAGGACATCAAATTCCTGTGTGATGTTGATAAAACAGGCACAAGTGGAGGTAATTTTTTTTTTTACTTTTTTTTTTATTAGGCTTAGGCAATGTACACTCTATATCTTATGAGTATGGGTGAGAACACTGTATGTCTCTCTGTTCTTTGTCATTGACGATTGATTGGACTCTTATTTCAAGCAGAGGCTACAGGAAAAAGCACACTGGAGTTATTTCGGACTTTCCGGAGTGTAAAAGAGAAGGAGAGACGAGCAGGTTTTAAGAAAGAAAAAAACACCATCAAAAGACAACCTGAAGGTTGTGAAGGTACATTTTTTTGCTGAGATATACTAATAATTTGCCGACAGTCCATTCTGTCATGTATTTATAGTGTCACTGAACTAGTTAACAGTCGCCTATTTCATTGTTTCTCTGTAGATTTCAGTAGGCCTTATGAGGCTGAAAGATGGTGTACTGAAGACTGTAAGAGGAACAGTACTTCCCCTTTTGATGCGACCAGAGTCGGATGCGGACGAATTGCAGAGAGCTGCTGAGCAAAAAATGAAGACCTTCGACAGAAATTTACATGGCGGTCCCTACGTACTGCTCTACCCTGACGGTACAAAGATAACTACTATACCAGGAACAGAAGTACCCTTCACTCTAAACGAGTACAAAGAAGTAGTGGGGAAGGCCTACCAACGTATCACACTGTACATTTGTACAGCTGAAGATTTCTTTACATCTTGTAAGTAATTGTGAAATGAATTACCAACCAAGAAGAGCTTTTTTAATTGATTTGTTTGTCAAGGAAAGCACTCTGTTGTTCTGAGTAGTCTAAAATCCTCTTATACCTGTTCTTGTATTTCACAGCTCAGGAAACCAGCTCTGAATCCAACTCATCGGATTCAGAGGTGATCATCATGAGTCCAACTTCTGCAGAATTCAATGCAGCTGATACATTAGTGAGTACTACATTTGTTGTATCTTAGATCGCTTATATTATAAATTATATCTGGAAGTGAAAATGTTTCTAGATTTCACATAGAAGGCATATTTTTACGATGAAACATGTCCCAAAATAGCATTTTAAATTGCGGTAAATGTTGCAGCGTCCTGGCCTACACATATTTTACAAACTTAAGAAAACAACTTTATTTAGTGCAGATCCCTGCAAAATCACACCATAATAATTTGTATGTTTTTCACTGAAAGTGATAATGTAAGAAGGATCATTCCCCCTGTCGCAAATCACATACACTATCAGTCAGAATAATAGAATTCAATATTTATGTTCAAATGTGTTAAGTTCTGTCAAATTTGAAGTGTCACACTGATATATTGTTTTTTACTTCCAGGTATGGGAACCTGCAGATGGAGAGTCAGGCACTGATTCAGCAGCTCCGGTAATTGTGGCTCCTAAACATTGTCTATTGTTCACATTCAGCCTTGTCTGAAAATATTGTCAAACAATTAATGTCTTAAACTACATGAAATAATGTGTCACACTGACCCAGAGATCCACGTTTGTGTACATTAGAATAGTCTTTTCTTTCTAAATCAGCCCTCTGATAGCCATGATTTAAAATACTTCAACTTACCTGTCACAAACCATGGTTTGTGATTCAGGTCTTATTTTCTGACTCACAAGAGGGCCCAGGAACATCAGGAGGTGTGCTGGAAACTGCGTGCTATAGGTATCATACTTTCCTTTCTACAATTCAAGTATGTTTTATATGAAAACATCAACAATGTAAACTTGTGTATGTCAATTTCTCAGCAAATATACTCAGCTGTATGCGCCCATTGTAATAGAGGATAAGGATGACTCAGACAGTGTTGAGTGCAGTCATGACATTCCAGAGGATACAAAGTAAGAGAAAAGTTACCCTTACTTCAACTGTGGTTGTTATTTTTCCTGATCAAAAATGTGTGCTATGGTGTACCATTTAACATGGTCATAATTTATCTGATGACAGGGTGGACCAGCAATCACTTTCTGAGATAACTGCAAACCTGGCCCTAGAGATTGACCATCGAGCTGTCAGCAGATTTAACATCTGTCGCTCGAACATCTGGGATGGAGCAGTCAGAGGATTCAAAAGGGCAACATTCTCAGAAAAGAAAGACATCCTGGTGAAATTCTCTGACGATGAAGGGAGGTTTGAGGAAGGTCTCGATACAGGTGGCCCCAAGAGAGAATTCCTCTCCCTTCTCATGAAAGAGCTGAACAAACGGCCCATATTTGATGGACCTGTGGAGAGCCGCTACCTGGTCTACAATTCAACAGGTTCTGTTTTGTGTATAATATTTTAAAAGAACCCATATTTCAACCTTGCAGTGTTTTCAAATATGGAAACTGATTTAATATTTCTTTATTCTGCATTATCTTGGACAGCTATCAGAGAGGATGAGTATTATTTAGCAGGGAAGATGATTGCTGTGTCCATTGTGCATGGTGGACCTGGTCCTAATTTTCTGTCAGAGGATCTGGTCAGCTACATCTCAGGGCAGAGCAGTTTCAAGGCATCTGTCGGAGACATTACAGATGAGGAGATAGGGAAAGTCCTACAAGAGGTATGAGAAGGGTGTGAAATTCTAGAATAGGTAAAGAGAGAGTTTTGTCCACTTAAACCATTCTTTCAAGATATACTTCTGGCATTACCATTTTTTTATAATTACGTGTCATATTTGAAATGTGTGGGACTCTGTTATCTCTTCTTTTAGATTCAGAATTCACCCTCAGTGGAGATCCTTCAGGACTTGATGATACGGAACAGTGCCATGTTGCAGACTGCTGGGTGCTTCAGACATGTCAGGTCATGTGAAGAAAAAAAAATGATTGTAGAGGATTACCTGAAGTGGTACATAATCCACAGGAACAACACTGCAATCGAAAGGTAGGTTTTTGTATTTCATTGTTATTGCTAAAATAATTATGAAAAACGTGTTGCTGTTGTCCCATTTTCTTGCTTACTTACTTCTACATGATGCACATGTATCTTTGCATGCATCTTTTAATTGTATTTTAGATTCAAGGCTGGACTTGAAAGTTTGCAGTTTCTGACAGCTCTGCAGCAGCATCCGACGGTTCTGACCCCTGCTCTCTGTCATGCCGATATGAAGCTGTCTGCTGCAGAGATGGAAAATCTGTTCCAGCCTGAATTTAGTCAACAGGGAAGCAACATAAGGGCTCAGGAAGAGAAAGCTATGAGTTACTGGGCAGACTATCTTCTCGATTGTGAAGGTTAGTCAATTTGCTCGTCTGATTTTTATACACACAGATTATAAAAAGTTCCGGTGTTGATGTAGATAGTATTTACTGTCAATTGATTCCAATGTTCTCTACTTTTTAGAAAATGACAGCTCAGTGACCTTGGAGGAGGTGTTAATGTTCGCTACAGGTGTGCCATGTGTGCCTCCTGCTGGTATGAGTCCTCTGCCACGCCTTCAATTCCTATGTTCTACAACGTCAACATTCCCAATGGCAAATACCTGTGCCAACATTTTAAAGCTTCCTCTTTTGGACACTTATGGTGCCTTCAAAGCCAACATGAACTTTGGCATTAATAATTCCCCCGGCTTTGGGTGCCTTTAAACAATTAAATAACTTGTGGTAAAAGTTAATGTTGCCACACACAGTCCGTTGTTTTAATGTTGCGGTCTGTCCGACCAAAATGTTGTGACGTAAGAGAGATGTGAGTATTTTTCATGGCAGATTTGTCCTATTTCATATCTAACATGTGAACAACACCACACATTTGTATTGTATTGTTATTGTATTCTCGTTAGGTAGGTAAGGTAGACCGTGGTTAAATCAAGAGTTCAGAACATGTGTTAAGATGTTTTACAAATATTTACATAAACAGTAAATAAAGACTGCAAAAGGCACCTTGTCGTGCAAATGTGCCAATTTTGTTTTGGCCATTTGATCATGTTTTTACATGGACTTTGTGAAAGAGTAAAGCTGAATGACTCTTCATTAAATGGTTTAAAAGTGTTTCATTTTAACGTAAGGACTTGTTTTTTACGTATAGCATATATGTTACACACTCGCTACAAAGATGACACGGCTGTAGCTGGTTCACAAGATTTTATTCTCAGATCCACTGTGAAAACAGAAATAACAGTAGCATATGTGACTGATGCAATGAATGAATGTTATTGTTGATTCATCAATTTGTTATGGGCTGTGTCTGAAATCACTCACTACTCACTATATAGAATTCCCTATAGTGTGAATGAGAGTGATTTCGGACACGCCTTGGTCTTTAAAATGTCAGAAAGTGAAGCCTCACAGAGAACAAATTAATCCAGCAAATATTCACATTTTAGAGGCTGGAACCTGCTTATATTCAAAACAAAATTAAAATCAATTAGGTGTATAATTTTCTGACAATCGACCATTCAACTGATAACACGGATGTAACACTAAACATGTTTTACAAAATACATGAATATGCTGTATGTTTATTTAAACAAAGAAAGGTTTCAGTCTAATGACTTATGCAAAGATACAAGCTGAATATTTCACTGGACTTATCTACTCAGAATTGCAGCATTCTAAATAATATTCAACCTACATTGGAAACTTGTACACACAAAAAAGGTTCTGGGGGGCTGGTGGGGCAATGTATTCTACACTCCAGATATGTTTTTCATGGAAATGTAATTCTGAACAGCAGCTGTCCAGTTCACTGGTGGAGCCAACCCACTCCATCTTTGCAAGTCCACAAAATGCATCTCCAGATTCTCATCACCACACAAATTGTACTGGGATGATGCTTGCATGATGCCATCAAAGTGGTGTAGGGCTTCCCAGGACACTGGAAATCCACACTCCCTTCCGCCAAACTTAAGACCAGTCATAAATTGAAACATAATGAGTCAAGTGATTACAAATGGATCATTTAACCCCCCCAAACATGCTAGATAAGCATTATAACTAAAACTCCATTGAGTCAGTTCTTCGTTAATTAAATCCTAAACAAAGAGCTTTGACTTGAGAAGTTAATCTCAGGTTGACAGCAGCTCTTTCAGTCAAATATGGTCATTCTATTCACTTTCTAACACAAGGTACTTTTTGGAATTGAGTAAGATAAATCGACAGAATAGCTTTGGACATTTTCTGATTTAGGTTGTGTTGGAATCCATTTTTAGTCGTTTAAGACTTGAAATCATTTTGAAATAATGAGTTTTCAGACTAAATGAATCACGTTATTTATCAAGTGACAAACTTGTCATATTGGGCTGATACACCAAATTATATGAAGTCAGATATATTTTAAAGTAATATTACCAAACAATTTCAATACAAACCTGTGAGGCAGGTGGTACATGGCATCAGGTTTACCTGATGGACACTGAGACAGGCGAACAGGTCGGATGGTGTGGTTGTTCCACAGCTGTCTGTACTCATCGAGGTCTTTTTGTAAGATGCCCAAAAACACATATCGCAGCAGACACTTGTGCTCATGGCTCCCATTGAAGAGGTGCCTCTCTCTAAGGTCACTGAAGAGCTCGATCCAGAACTGAGTCCTAATGGTGGAATTCAAAACTTTTGTATTTCATGAAAAAAAGACAACTTCAAGTAAAAAGTCACAATATTTTGCTAAAAAGTCACAATATTTCTAGAAATGTTGTACATTTCTTGGTGCGCTCCTACATTATTTCATTTGGGAGCACATAAACTCCCTTGGGAAAATGTTAGTGTACAGCTCTAATGATAGATTTAAAGTATTTGGGCACCTCTGTACTATATACACACACACATACATTCTTGGACCTGACCTTAAAAGGCTATAAGTTGCTTTCTGAAGAAAGACCACCAACTCTCGATGCGCTGGTTTGCAGTTGAGGTACCATACATGTGACTGAGGGCTCCTGCAAAATCATCTGTGTGTTGAGATCGTAACGTGCAGTTAATGGCTGCCATAGTGCCGTTTTCGCTGGAAGTAGTCCAAACTCCGATACACACTGCAGGTAATACTGCGCAATGATGCCCGGATCGTTGTTAGTGCTGCCACTCCTGAGCCACATAACTTTCCTTGAAAAGCCGTCGATGCAGCCACTGATGGCAATACCAAAGGGTTTAAGTTTATCATATCCATCAGCGTGCCACACTTGGTTTGGTCCTGCTGTGACGTATCCCCTTCGGACAAACCTTCGCCTGGAACGAAGTTGAACACCAGATGGATCCAGTCTGGAAATCGTCTGTCTAACATCCTCCCTTTTTACTGTCAGGTGATACTTTTGTTGCAATGTCTGCCACATAGCTCTGTAACCCAACAGCCGACCCGAGCCTCTCAGTTCATGTGCAACAGTTTGGTGTACAGTGCCAATGGGAGTGTAGTCTGTCCTTCTTGTTAAGCCAGCGTTCTGCAGCCTCCTCTTTAAGGTCCTCAGACTAAGAACAATGTTGTGTCTTTTTTCTAGAAAATCAAGTATCACTTCATAAGCGTGTCCCTCTGTGAAGTACTTGTGGATGAGGCCTGCCTCGATTCCTTCATTCGATTCTGTGACTGAAGGGAAAAGACAACAGTGTCATTAGGAATGAAACTTAATAAGAACAAAATGAAAATGTATCAGTAATGAGGAAAATACCTGAACTGTTTGATGCATAAGTGTATGTTTTCAGTTTTTCAGTATGTTCAATATCAATAATTCCAGACATGAGGAGCAAAAAATAAGAGAAATAAACAGGCAAAGGACAAAATATTGGGATACTTACATAATTGGTAAGGATAAAAATACATATCAATCTAGAGGTAGCGAACAAAAAGGTACCCTTTTAATGCCTGTATTTGTGCATAAACGCATCAGAAGGCTCAACCCTCACATGAAGGAGCACATAATTGGTCAACTTTGGTATTTCACCTGATTTTTTTACTTGTTGGCATTTTTTTTTATCAGTAGTTCTAAATCATGTTGAAATTGCCATGACTGACAATAATATGTGTATAGCATATATTAAAATGGCAACAAATCATATACAAATAAGACATTATCACTGTACTGGTGAAATTCTTGACTTTTAAGGAGGAGCTTACTATCTTCGAGAAAGGGAGCCAAACATTCAATGTTGCTGCCACAGGAGCCGCAACACCTCCCAAAACACCCACCAGTCCCACAATATGGACAATACATTGCCTGTGGAAAAGGAGCAATGTGAATGTTATTCATTTGCAATGAAGTAACAGCTACTTGGTAAGCTATTGCAGCAGGTAATGTTACCTGCAAACAGCTGACACTAATTTAACAGCAGATATCAGCTGCAATCACTTAATATCTGAACCATGCATCCATCTACAATGTCAAAATACATTAAAAAAAAAGAAGAAAGATTTAAAGCCAGTAAACTTCCCAAAGGAAGCACGTCTTGGACATGATAGAGACCCTTCTCTATCTCTAAGCAGGATAAGAGACCATCATTTATCTCTAGACAGGCACATTTAGATGACATGTTGATGGAGTCAAGATTGACTACAGGATGTTAGTGAAGATCTAATATGTATTCAATATAGGGCTGGGCAACGATTACAAGTTTTAAATCGCGTTTCCTGCGATTAACGCGCTAATAACGCGTTAACTTGCCCAGCCCTAATTCAGTAAAAGTTGTTCCTTCAGAGCATGTTGAGGAGAGGACCCGAGCTCGTCTGTTGAATAAAGGCATATTCAACTTACTTTGAGTGTCTTAGCATCATCTTTAAGTCCCGGTCGGCTCAGATCCGTTTGTTTAGAAAACAGCTAACGTTAGCAGATAAAAGTAGCTATGTTCTACTAACATTATACACTACACACATAATCTGCTCCCACACACAAAATAACGTCATTTGAAGTTATAAATACGGCAGCGACAGATATTATCTACATCCTGTGTAACTTTAACATTATAAACTTACCCAAGAGATGTTTCCTGGAGATCCCCCAGACTTCTTCTTCTCTCACATAAACAAACCGCATGTGCATCAGCAATAATAGTCCCCGGTAATTCACTTCCGTTGTGGCTTTTTTATTTGCATCGCGGCGTTTTTATTTGCGCGGCGTTTCTGTTTCTTTTTATTTGCAGCGTATGAGTCCGTGTATCTACGGACCATTTGTTTTTCTTTATTAAAAAAGTAAACTGAAGAGCGTCTGAGAGGCGTTTTTGCCCTTTTGCTTGTTACCTTACTAAATGGTCTAATGGTCAGTGGAGCGAGGGGGGAGGCCCGCGAAACTTGTGGAAGTGATTTCAAAACAAAAAGCACTCGTTTGCTTGGAACAAAGAAAACGGCCAAGACACACATTGAGTCCAGAAAATGAATGTTATTAAGGGCTGTAAATATAATAAGCCTGTGTCTAAAATTGACAACAGGCTTATTATATTTACAGCCCTTAAGATACACTTTTGTTTTTAACAGCTGACCACTACCATGACATACTTTGTTTTAGTAGATTTCGCATGAGAGCAAAATGTATAAATATGAGCATTACATTATATGAATATGAGAACAAAATGCATGAATGTGTGAGTGACAATATATGAATGTGTGCATTGAAATATGATAATATGAGAGCAAAATGTATGAATGTGTGAGTATATATATGTGTGTGAGAGTGAAAATGTATGTATGTAAAAGGAGAATATATGTGTAAGAGTGAAAATATGCTGCATTTTGAATGTCCGATAGTCCACCATTTCCACCAGAAATATCAAACATTTAATAAAAGTGAAAAACAATGAACAAGACTTAACGTATTCATCATAATTAATTATATTTATTTCGTTTGGATGTAGGATTTTTGACTTTGTTTAGAGCAGTGATCTTCTACTATAGGCCTATGAACATTTTGGACCCAAAATCACAACAAAAAAAAACGTAAAAACAGATTTTGAAAATGATATTATTTTTCATATAGGTAACACAAACATACACAACGAAACCATTTAAAAGCTGGAAATATATACATGGGATGTCACTATGATAATGTGAAAGTTTGATTGAGGTAGCATGGGATTTCATTCTGATAAGGCAAAAGTGTTATTATAAATATAATACAAATATATACACATTATGTACAAAAATCAGTTTTTTCTGTCTTTATCTGTGCCACGCTTCAAAGCGGTTCTGTCAATACGACACAGAGGGCAACATCACAGATTCCTCCTCCTCCATGTCAAAAAACAAGCTTAAAGCTTGACTCACGTTCAGAGTTTTCTTCATCATAGTTGAATCTTCAAAACTCTAAATCTATCTAACTATATCTAAATTCTGAATGTTTGTCTGTCACTTTACTTCAATCACAGTCTCCCGCCGTCCCTCTTCGTCTCGTTTCGTATCACTCCGTTTACCTGATTACCTCACCCCCTCCCTCCCTGGTAAATACATCCTGTTGAGCAGAATCTACAGTTTCCAGTATTTTCCGTTTCGTAAAATGATAAAATACGGCAAAGATATTAAAATATGTGCTTCCATTATTCCTACTTCTGAAATATATCTGTATTAACTTTATATCATCGTATGTCCGTGTTTATTGGGTCTTTTTGCATGAAACAAAGACTGGCATATAGTTTCAAGCCAGTACTTTCGACAAAAACACACGGCAATGTTGTCCGGACTGTTGTTTTTATGCGGCACCGGCTTGAACAGGTCATGTGATCTGATCACGCCGGCGTGACGGTCGACTCCAAAGGATTAATATTAAATACATATAAGTATTTTTACAACTTGTATTTAGAAATACTCTGTTGTAATTATTGATGCATAGATGTGTTCATCCATTCAATGTGGCATCTGCTATAATGGGGTTAATGTATGATATTACTTAATAATACAATACATTATAATATATGATATGATAATTATATTTTAGTTTTATTCATTTGTTATTTCATAGTTTCTCATTATTTTTATCGCTCATCTTATTTTTGATTTTATTAATCTGCGTGAATCTGTGCTGTCCTGTTTTTCACTCTCACCCTGTTGCTGTTTGAACTACTGAATTTCCCCACGGGATTAATAAAGGTCCATCTTATCTTATCTTAATGTATAAGTTGATTTACTTCAATCTACTGTACTGTGTAAAAACACCCCAACAATATTACAAGAAATATACTGCAAAAAGCAAACTATATATACTTTATTTGATCTAAAATATTGATGTTTTTTCATTATAGTAGCTTGTGAAAACCATACAGTAACAAATAAGTGATTAAATGCGCCATCTTAGCGCCATCTTATGGTTAAATCCTGTAATTGAACAAATGGGGAAATTGGGCAACGCCCTCTAGCAATTTGGCAACACCCCCAGCCACTGGCATCCGCTGGGCTTTTGACTGGGACACACCCATCTGAGTCTGATCTGGAGTGCTTCATCTGTACGTGGCGCTGTAACTTCCTCCACAAAAGCAGCGAAGAAGCATGGTTGTCATGGTTGCCCTTCTGTTTATTCTCCGCGGTGGGGGCAGAGGGAACCGGGCAGAGTTTTTCTCCAGTCAACGTGTATTAAAGTTTAAATCTTCCGACAAAATTATAAAAGTGCCGGTCAAAGGTCTTCTTTGTTATTTATTGAGCTTTAAAACAAATGAATAACGACTCTATATAATAATAAAATACACGGAGCCTCTCTTTTTCCTCCCTCTCTTTGGACAGCGCCAGTGTCTGTTTCATGCAGCAGCTGATCCAGTAATGAGTGACACGGCCGACAGTAAAAATAAACATATTTATAACTAGTTTAGGTAGTTTGAGAGGTGTCTCCGTCCTGTCAGATTAGACTTCACTCGCGTTTATGTCCATATCGAGAGAAAGATAAATAATCAAACACGTGGGTTTGCTATCCTGGCTCCTAAATGGTGGAATGAGCTCCCCATTGACATCAGGACAGCAGATAGCTTACACACCTTCCGGCGCAAACTGAAAACTCATCTCTTTCGACTCCACTTCAAGCGATATAACTATTAACAAAGCACTTATATACTAATAAAGGGCTGGCTTAGCTAAAGCCAGTTGAGTAGCACTTGAAATGTTTTTGCTCTATGAAGCCTGATGTACTTATATGATTCTGTTTTCTTCAAGTTTATATTTTGTTGGTCGAACGCACTTATTGTAAGTCGCTTTGGATAAAAGCGTCAGCTAAATGCAATGTAATGTAATGTAATTTGAATTCAGTGTGCAGTTTACTTTGACGCGGGGGTGAGCAGCAGAGGTGGGGAGAGGCGGGGCTATTGCCTCATCATTATCAGAAAATGATCGTATAGGGCGTACACACGGAGCCGTTGGACCCCCCAGAGCGTTGCGTATGCCGTTCTATCCACCTTGGGACCCGTTATCGTTTCCGCAGTCGTTTAGTGCCGTATTCGGTCGTCCTCGTGTGGCCGAACGGTCTATATGACACTAAACAGTAACGCAAACGACCGTTTTCGTCCTCGTGTGGCCGGGGCATTAGTTACTTCACAGATGTGGATGAATGGTGTGAAATATATTATCAAGTGTTAAATCAGACTTTAGTTCCACCTGGAGTAAATTCACAAGCTACCCTGCAGTATACAAAGTCATTCAAACTAGCTGCACCTTTACCAGCTTTGAGAACACTTTAATGAACAATCATTATAAAACATATCATATATATTATTCTGAAATGGACCAATCTGCACAATGACTACTTTTACTGTCGCTACTTTCACTATATTTTGATGATAATACTTTTCTACTTTTACTTGAGGAACATTTTGAATGCAGGACTTTTACTGTGACAGAGTATTCCTACACTCTGGTACATCTACTTTTACGAAGTACAAGATCTGAGTACTTATAATTTCACTACAAGATCTGAGTACTTGTACTTTTACTCAAGTACAATATCTGAGTACTTATTCCACCTCTGGTAGTGTATTAGTCTGATGTGAAGCCACAAAATCATGCAGAGCTGCATAAAAATAGACTCACAATGGTAACAAGTGGAAAATAATATTTACAAATGTGTACAATGATTTGTAGGTAATTTTGACTACTCAAGACACCTGACAAAGGACAAAGGAAGACTGTGTTCATTCTACAATTACATG